CCAGACAAGGAGCTCAGGCATTCTGAAATTTCTCATGTCTCGCGCCACACGAGTCACGCGGCTCGCTTCTTTTTTGGCGCGGCCGGCTGGCCAAATCTAGCGTGGCGCTACATATGGGTTAAACGAACAGACAGGACGTACGGGAGGAAGTCAGCTTCCGAAGGAGGGGAAGGAGAGGATGTTGATAAAGGAGAGCCGAGACGGCAGCGATGAGCCCGTGCCGAGATCACAGCTTTTATTTGGGACACAAGCGCAGTGGTTTTTTTTGTTCACATCGCATATCTCAAAACTGATATACAGTATGACAAGATTGCATGGTGAACATAAGCGACAAGCCCTTACGTAGAAATCATGACATGCCTGTCATGTAACATGCTTGTCGTGCCTGTCAAGTAAGATATGTCACATGCCACGCTCATGACGCGCTCATGGTCACATAGACCCAATTGACGCGCTCAGCTTCACATAGACCTGATTTGGTATCACATTACGCCAATGGATGATAAATCTATATGAATATTAGAAACATGATAATAATGAGATGCGTGTCATGTAACTACATGTCTACATGCAACGCTCATGATGTGCTTGAAGTCGTTTCGCTAGCTTCACATACACCGAATTGGGTATTGCGTGATGGGAATGGATTATGAAGGTATCTGGTGCAAACATGACATCCGTGTCATGTAAGAACATGAATACATGTCATGCTCATCAGTAGAGACTGGAACTTTAGGCACGAAAAAAGAATGTTTTAGGTGCTTATAAGAGGCCCTAAACTGCTCTTTAGGCATAAATTGGCGTTAAAAAATATCGTTAAGACTTATATAGGCACAATTCATAATTATTTCAGTAGCGTGCTCAATACAAATATTCAACTTCTAATAAACACAGCAGGCAAATTCTGTGCTTTAGGAAAGCTAAATTTATATTTTCCATGAAAAAGAATAGCAAGAAGCATAACCAATTGAACAGATTTTGGTGAAAAGCTGAGGTAATTCGACATTGTAGGAAATGCTATGAAAACAGTGACAAACCAGCATCATGTCAAGGTTTTCGACTCTAATTGTGGTTGCTTTCAGTCAGTAATTGCTTTTATGCAAAAAAGAACGCTCGAAGTTCACTTAATTTAGTCAATTGTACCTGTGGCCTAGCACTTTCAATGCTTTATTGGCATTCAGAATATTTGAATCGATTTCAATTAAAACTTTAGACACTTGTTTTAGCACATACAATCTGTGTTTCTTTCCCAGGCATATTCAAGCTTTGAGGCAACTCTGTCAGCGAGTTGCTCAAAGGACGTAAACGAATGACGAAGTTATAAAACTGTTGCAAACATGATAATCGTGGCATGCGTGTCATTAAACAGCATAAATACATACCAAGCTCATGATGCGCTCGGGCCCGTTACTCTAGCCTCACATATACTAAATTTGGTATTACGTGACTTAAGAACATGACGAAGGTGTTTGGTTCAAACATGATAACCATAAAATGCGGGTGAAGTAAGAACATGACTATACACTACGCTCATGGTGCGCTCGCAGGCGTTTACCTACCTTCACAATTACCAAATGTGGTATTACTTGACGTTAATGGACGACGAAGGCAAATGGCACGTCCAAACATGATAAATATGATATGCGCGTCATGCAAAACATGACTACATACGACGCCTATAGCGCGCTCGAAGCCGTTAAGTTAGCTTCACACATACCAAGTCTATTATTTAGTGACGATAATGGATGACGAAGGTAAATTGCACCTTCAAACATCGTAATCATGACATGCGTGTCATGAAAAACATGACCGCTTGCTACACTCATAGCACGCTCACGCCCGTTTCGCTAGCTTCACACATACTAAATTCGGTGTTACGTGACCTGAATGGACGACGCGCCGAAATGCCAGGCACAAACATGATAATAATCTTAAAGAGAGATATCTATTTCGTTATTCATGCTTTGCATATTATTGATTCCCACTGTATGTTGGATCTGCCATTTTTTTCTGGCTTTTGGATATACTACCTTTCAAAGAGTACCCCCAGGTTGCTGTCCTCGTTACTGGCTATCCTGGACCCCAAAGTGCCCGCGTACCCCTCCTCCCACCCTCAAAAAAAAACTATTCCACCTCCAGCAAATCGCCAACCCAGCTCATCGAAGTGAATTTTGTCTTGTTGAAAACCACCCCATCTAAGCACCTTTCTGTTCAATTCCACTACCTCAAAAGCTCTATCTCGGCTCATCTGCCATATCTCCTTGTTTGCGTTGACGCCGTTCTTTGCAGGTTGCTGTCACGCACCGGTACCTCCGGTATCGTGCATACCAATACCTGTACCTGAGGGAAAATGGCGCGCATGTCATCGACCTCTTTCGTCATTGTAGTCGCTAGTCCTGCCGATTCTTCATTCAAGAAATCGTTTAGACGGACCGCAATTATCCCGAGGTTTCGTCCTTTAGCTTTAGATGTGAGTTTTGCGCTCGCTTCTCTCAACACTCCTTCCAGCTTAAGTCCTAGGATTGTACCTATCGAAACGCTCGTGTCACCTCTTACCCTTTCTTTGCATCGATTTAGATTTGAGTCCTCAGCAAGTATCATGTGCTGTGATTTTTCACCTAGAGTTTCCCGCACCTGGAGGTTACTTCCGCTTGTACCGCCAGCTGCTTTGTCCCCATCCCCAAAACTACTTCGCGGAAGCCGAGTCTTGTGAGTAATGAACCGGCTGAACCTTGTTTTTTTTCGATCCTAATTTCTCTTTCTTCTCTGCCGTTCTGGGTACCGGTGCCCTACCAATATTGCCATTGGCTGCTCCTTTGTTCACCATCACTAGGGTCTTCTCGGCTGACCTAAAGCTTTCTCCCATAGCCTTCGTTTTACAGCGAAAGCTGTTATGGGATCACAACTCGGGTCATGAGCCACCGTAGTTGTCCACTGCCGCCACCACCGCCGGTGTCCGTAACTACATCGCACGAAATTAGAAAACAAACCTAGCGTCAATGACACAGTAGAGATCGAACCCAAGTTCGCTTGGTGGCAGCCCAGTGTTCTACCACTGAGCAACGCCAGTGCTCAGTGGTAGAACACTGGGCTGCCTTGTTGGCAAACTGTTGGCAAACTTGCCTTAGGTAGGCTTGATGTCAGGCAAGGAATCGCGTTACAAGGACTTATAAAGCGTTTAAATACAGCGAAAGAGCAACTAGTCGTCGCACAATGCGAATAGCGTAACGAGTGGCTCATCCAATGCTCCAACCCATTAGGAAAACTTGTTCTTGTTCACCTATAACGGTGGCGCATACCCACTACAAGCATAATTCCTCATTGTCCTCAGCCACTTCATGAACAATTGGCACAAAATTCTTCGCGAGGGTTTAGCTGATACGACAACTATGAGAAGAATGACAAAAAATAACATAGTGAATGCCGGCCTACTACAAATAAACTTTTATTAATAATGCCATAGTGGGTATCAAAGCAAGTGTGCTTGCAGTGGTTACCCTATAAGTGTATAGTAAAGGCTTTGAAAGGCCGCTCTTCTAGCTTTCGGGGGGGCTATGCTGCAACTTGCGTGAATGCCTGGAGTTTATTCTTGCGCTGTCGTTAACGCAGTCTCTAGCTCGCCGATTCTCATCATCAGTTGACTCTGGGCAGCCATCATTTTCTAATTTTTTTTCTGTCATTGTCTGCACTTGGCTTACTCTACATTCTCATCCGCACTACCCTGAATTTGCAAACCCGTCCCGCACCCTGAACATTTTATACTCTTTTCTCCATGTCTTTTTTTACTGTATCTTTTACACAAACTCGCCAGTGTCCACGAGTATCTGAATTGTACCACTCGAGAATTAGAGGACGTGGGGTACGACGAACACTTGCCTAAGTAAAGAAAAAAGTCTAATCTCTACTACAATATATATAGTTCGTGTCCTTGCAGTTCCACCCCACACAAAAAACCGCTATAAACTATATATATATATATATATATATATATATATATATATATATATATATATATATATATATATAAAGGAGAGAAGTGTATAACTAAGGGCTTGTATTTCCGTGTTTTAACACAATATTAATGAGATATAACAGACAGTAATGCAAACGAATGTACAGGGGAAGTTATTATAACCAATGGAATGTAAATAAGAAGAAAGAAGAAAGAAAAGTGGATGAAAAAATTACCAGCTGTGAGCAGGAATCGAACCTACGACCTTCGAATAACGCGTTCGATGCTATATATATATATATATATATATATATATATATATATATATATATATATATATATATATATATATATATATATATATATATATATATATATATATAGTTACCTTATTCTGCAACAAACATTTTTGCAAGTTATCTGACCGGCCTTTATCTGCCCATCTGTTTTTTTGTGTCCTAAAAAACTACAAAATAGCCTACCAACACACCCAAACTGCACGTTACAAAGGCTCTAAACAGGCCAAGGCCTTCCAAAACTCAAACTTGCCGCGAATAGGCGACCTTAACCCAAATTTGACGTCATGCTTTGTGGCTACCACACCAATATTCACACCGCTTTCTTTGTTTCCACTCTCATCGTAAGCTGATACAGCTACCACAGGAATCGATGACGATTGGTCGCAAGGGCATGTTTATTCATTGTACATTCATAAATCGTAAACTTTAATCGTCGGGATGGAGATTGATCGCTAAGCGTCAACGAGAATGCAATTTGGTTAAACGGCGCTTTAGCTGCCGATTACCAACAGATATTCTGTATGCTTTCTTACAGCAATGTGCAGTAGACATATAAACCACTTTTGTAAGGAGACGTTCAATTTTTGTGTTACACTGATTCTTGTGACGGAGGAATCACCCATATTTTTTCGTCTGTTGCAAACCTTCACGTCGGACAAATATAATCCCCGAAATCCAATCCACATGTGTTATACACTCAACCTACAGAGCTAGTAGAATGGCAAATTTCTGGAAATGGCGTCACTCACCACCATCGCCATGGGACAGATGACGGTCCAGCATATCTTCATGTAGTAGCTCGGCCCACGGCCAAGCATGAACTGCATGTCGAACGAGAACCGTCGAAGGCCTGTGAACAACAATCGTGAATGCCGTAGAGTTCTTGAAGAAGTTAAAGTGAATATTGTTTATTTATTTGCAGGAAGAAAGGCACTGTTTTCACGCGTGAAAGTACCGAAAGGAAGCACGCACATGTGTCAAGTCATATCCATGAAATTTCAGAAAGGAAGAAAAAAAAGGCAGCATATCCACGGAGCGAATGATGGAGATTGGGGCGAAGCATCCGTCCGTCCATTCGTTCTTGCTTCCGTCTGTTCATGCGTCCGTTTGTGTGACCGTCCGTGCATCCATTCGCCCGTTCGTGCGTGCATCTGTTCGTGGGTCCGCACGTCCATTTGTGCGTCCGTCCCTGCGTTCTTCCATTCATCCGCCCCTGCGTCCGTCCATGCGTCCATCCGTCGATGCAGCCATCCGTTAGTCTGTCCATGCATCTGTCTGTGTGTGCAATCGTCCATCTATTCAACACTCCAAATACCACCATCTAGCATCTTTTCATCATATATTCCGCATATGCACCACCGTCCAACGGACATTCCAAGGACTAAACGAGAGGTGGCACATGCACACTTTCTTACGGCTTGCGCTTCGCGTCTACTTCCCACCTTTAACCCCCTCGAGTTCATGGTATATATATAGTTCCCTGTATTCATGGCACTGCGGCCCAACGCTCGCTAAACCTTTCTAAAACCAAGAAGGTTATGCCCAGCGAGCATAATGTAGCAACACTTTCTTGTTAGATCGTGCTCAATGTAAATGCCAATGGCTGTCAAAGGGTAATGAGAGACAGGAGAATTCGGCTTTTAGTTGACGCACACGCTGCGAGTGTTTTATTGTTCAACAACGCACAGAAGAAATCTTTAACTGGCACTACCTTGAAAGTCAGAATGTAAGACTGGTTACACACTATGACTGCTACTACGACTACGAGGGACGAACAGATGCCGCTATAGGGAGCTTCGCCCCTAAAATCTGGCTGACATTCACAGTTGATATCTTCGTGCGTCGACGAATACAGGAGACGTGATAAAAAAGGCGCTAGCAATAAGCCACCATTCGGCCATCCTAATAAAGGCCAACCGCAACAAAACTTTACTTGGGCGCAAATGGCTTTAATTATGTAGAATATTTGCGGTAGCTACGATTATGAAAGTGAGAAATGTGGTTCAAGTTCTTCGGGTGAAAAACTGGGAAATGTCCACAGCTGCATTGTTGCGACTGTACAAGATTGTTTTGCTTGGATTCTTTCGGCACAGCCTACCTGCGTTAGCCAACGCAAGTAAAACAAGCATATGAATGCTTCAAAGTATCCAGGCTCAAGCACTCCGGATTTATTTAGGCATGCCCCAAAGTGCATCAACAGCGGCAACTATCGCCATCACAAGGGACCGCTTCATCAAGACCCACATTATTGTTCAAGTGCTGAGGACACATATACGACACCTTGCTCAAACTCCTCGACATCACCTAGCCTCTCTACCAGTGGACCGAACATGCACACCTTACGGCAAAACAGTGACCGCACATGGCGAGTCGATCCCAACTTCGTTCTCTCCTGCCGCTAGACCTGTGACTCCGCCATGGTGCCTCGCTCAACCAAGGAATAATAATAACATACCTGGCGTCCAGAAAAAGGCCAATTTGTCGTCACCAGCTCTTAAACAGCCCACACTACTTCTCTTGTACGAGAAATACCAAGACTCCACACATATACACACTGATGGATTGGTTCAGCCGGACAGCTCTACAGGAGCGGTAGTGATACCAAGGTTGGCCACGACAATTGAATTCAAGACATCTCACGCAACAACATCAACGGCAGCAGAATAGGCAGCACTTCGTGCCACGTTGCAATTGGTCGTTGATCAACCTACACGCAAGTGGACTATTTTCTGCGACTCGAAGGCGGCACTGCAGTCTCTACTATCAGCCTTACGCCATGAACCACACGAGCAGCTGGTACTAGAGATAGCAGAAGTTATACATGACCTGACTGAGAAAGGGCACCAAATTATATTTCAGTAGTTACCCAGTCACTGCGGAATCATCGGCAATGAACGGGCCGATCAAGCTGCTCGCTCAGCCAACACAGATCATAAACTACGACTACCACTTTCTAGGACATGCTGCACGAAAGCTCCGCAGGCTTGCTCGCCAGCAAACCACTTCACAATGGAATCAGCCACACTTCAAGCATGCCCGACTGTACTCGCTTGACCCTACGCTAAGTCTCCAAGTCCCGTCGAGGCTTTGCCGAGCAGACCAGACCCTGTTATGTAGGCTGTGGTTGGGCATTGAGTTTACCAACGCCTACGCTTTCCGCATTGGGATGGCTGACTCTACAGCCTGTGGCCACTGTGGCAAAAAAGAAACGATACAACGTATTCTTTGTGACTGCCTAGAGTATAGTAAACAACGACTATGCCTTCGCAAGGAACTCAGCAAATTAGATAATGAGCCTCTGTCGGAGAAAGGAATTCTACAATATTGACAAGATGCAACTTCACAGAAGAAGGCCCTGAAAGCGATACTATACTTTTTGCGATTGACCAGCCTTACTGAACGGTTATAGCTAGGACGCCCTTCCGGTGTGTGTTTCCGTTCTCACATGAGTGCGCGTGCGTTTTTTCAATCTACCCCCTCTTTCTTCCCCTATTTCCCCGCCCCCAGCGCCGGGTAGCAAACCGAATGCCACTATCTGGTTAACCTCCCGGCCTTTTCTTTATCTCTCTCTCTCTCTTTCTTGCAGTTGCGGATTCAAGTTATAATTGGGGCTCTAATTGCCAGCAAGCAGATGATGCTGAGCTCTAGCGGTGTGCGCAGGCAAAATGGACAGAACCGGATATGACAAGTACTACAGAACGTCGGCGCGTAGCTCCTTGTGAGCAATTGTCCCTGACGCTGAATAGCTCTGTCCTGCGTTGAAACCGCTTTCAATGCAGCGCGTTCGAAACGTGTCTGCGCGTTTGTGCTGCCCTGGCGCCGCCTAAGAACTGCGCGTTCAAAACGCGTTAGCTGCGTTGAAGTCAACGGCAAATCCAGTTCAAGTGAAGCAGCGTTTCTGAATATGGGCGTCAAACTAAGGAGGTTTAAAAAAATGGCTGGAGTTGAAATTCTTACCCACGAGTGGAGCCTTGCCGACAGTGAGGCGGTGGCTACGGCAGCTATCTTACTACGGCATGATGAGCTGTTGGCATTAGGCGCTTGAGAAGGGGCGCTTTCTTCGCACGCCCAACGAGTTAACCGTGGCAACCTTTTAGGGTCAGATAATTCGCAAAGTGCGTCTTTGTGTTACTAGTTTTCTTTAGTAATCCTTGAATTAAAGGCGAATTTCATTGAAGATTACGTAACTGGTACTAGTCTCTGCGGATTGTTTCTTCAAAAACAACAATCTCTTATTATATATTTACGTATTCTTTAGGCTAAAAAGTCAAAGCCACTTGATGTATAAGTCAGCACCACTAGGAAACAGAATGTTTCTACGACCTTTGAAGGGCAAAAGCCGGCTTCACTACTGCCGGCAAAGCGTTGCGGGAGCTTTCACTCCAGCAATTTTTTTAAACCTCCTTGCGTCAGACACTGCAAACCCACCAGTGGTTAGCCCGGACCAGCATTCGATAAAAGGCATGTTCACGCAGCTTTTAAAAGCGACGCACTTGATAGAGATCTTCGGCGACTTTGAACGTATCTATCTGTCTATCTATCTATCTGTCTATATATCTATCTGTCTATCTATCCATCTATCTATCTATCTATCTATATATATATATATATATATATATATATATATATATCCGCCTATGACATTTAGCTCTCCAGCTATTTCGTTAATATTATCGATACCAAGACTGGTATGGCATAACATGATCGTATGACGTGCTCGAGTGAGTAGTCATAACATGAAAATCATCATAGCTATTTTTGAATGTCATGACATACATTTTATGGTCTTCCTGCTCTTCGGAGGTTTTGTTCACATGAAATGCTGCAAAACTGCTATGGCATGACATGACAGCACGGTGAACACTGGTGACAGACGCTAACATAAAAATCATGACATGCATGTCATGTAACAATATGACTATATGCCACACTCACGATGCGCTCACGGCCGTTTTGCTAGCTTCGCATATACTAAATTTGTTATTACGGGACTTGAATGAATGACAAAGGTATGTGACTGGTGCAAACATGGTAATCATAATATGCGTCTAATGTAACAATGTAACAACATGACTACATGCTACGATCATGATGCGCTCGCGGTCGTTTCGCTGCATTTACATGTACTGAATTTGGTATTACGTGAAGCCAAGGGACGACATAGGCAAATGACACGTCGAAACTTGATAATCATGACGTGCCTATCATGTAACAACAGGATCTTATGCCACACTCAACACTCATGAGGTGCGTGAGGCAATTACGATACCTCGAATTTTGTCAAATTTGGTATTACGTCCGTAAACAGAGGCCGAAGGTATGTGACTGGTGCGAACAAAATAATCAGAAAATGCGTGTCATGTAGCAACATGACTACATGCCACGCTCAGGATGCGCTCGTGGCGGTTTCGCTCGCTACGCATATACTTAATTTGGTATCACAACTCGTGAATATACGACGAATGCAAATGACACGCGTCCAAACAAGATAATCATGCAATGCGTGCCATGTAAAACTTGACTTGGTGCTACGCTCGTAGCATGCTCGCAGCCGTTTCGCTAGCTCCACCTTTACCGAATTTCGTATCAACTGATGTGAATAGATGAAGGCAAATGAGACATCCAAGCATGCTAATTATGACATGAAAGTCATATGTGCGGCATATTTACCTTCGCCTCGTAACGTTGTGCTGATTTGAAAGTGACATATCAACCTTCCTAATTCGTGCTTCGCATATCATCGGTTCTCACTGTACGTTGGATTGGCCAAATTTTCTTAAGTTAACATAGAAAAGCACACACACTAAGGGGTGCATCCGTGAAGTGCGTGCTCAGGGAGCCCGGAGCAGA